TGGTATTTAACTATAAAAGGAAATTCTCTACTTGTAGGACAAATCTATAAGATACACTTTATATAATATGGTGGGAGACTTTATATACTTAAAGATACATAATATCAAAGATGATGAACAATACCATCATCATATATAGTCAAGATTTTTTCATATCAAATTATCAAGAATGAATATATAACTAGAACTTAGCAGAAGCGTATCTTAATATATTCATATAGAATATGAAGAACAAACTTATATCTTTCTTTCGTCATGTATCCATTTTTCGGTGTCCCTTGTCTTAAATGCGTGTTCAAAGTAGAACATGTAGGTTTGTTGATCTTCCAATTGTAGACCATCCTAAGCATTAGTTCATCTTCCAATGGGATGAAGAGAGTAGAGATGAGTGTGTCTTTTCTTGTGTGTCTACAATTGTGGACCATAACCCCTATTTATAAGAAGTGCATACCCTTCCATGAAGGGTGATGCTAGTTGATTTTCTTATTTCCAATTTTGCCCATCATAAAATAGAAATAAGACTTTAGGTATCTACACAATAATTTTCATGATAATTATGTATGTAGACATGAACTTTACTTGAAGTAGATCACTTTAATTTGCATACTAATAATAATGACTCTAGACACATTTAAACATTACATGTGTAACCCAAAATTTCTTAAAAATATAAATCATATATACATTGACTGAAAAATTGACATTTCAAGATTTTTTTTAGATTGGAACTAGTTAATCAGACTGAAGATAATTCAACACAAATGATTTTAAGTAAACATGGCATACGAATCAAAGTACCGCCATTTATCACTAGTCTAAAATAACCAAAACAACTAAAAACTCAATAATCAACTATGGCAACTTCATTATCAACCTGAAGCGCGTATTTTGTATTTTGCTCGTAGATCCAGGAGTGGATTGCGCTTTTCCAGGCAGCAAGGCCGTCAGGGAACCACAATGCAATTTCCTTTGTCGCACTTTCAACAGAATCACTTCCATGAATAACATTACTCCCAATTTCAACAGTAAAGTCACCACGAATGGTTCCGGGTTCAGATTGAGAAGGGTTCGTGGCTCCAATTATCTTCCTTCCACTTACCACAACATTCTTACCCTCCCAGATCATGGCAACAACAGGGCTAGAGAAGATGTATTCCACCAAACCATTAAAGAATGGCTTTGCAGACAAGTCAGCATAGTGCTTCTTTGCAAAAGCACGCTCCAGGGTAGGGGTGGCAAAATTATCCACAATCCATAATTCATCCAAGTTAAATCCATCCAAATTCATCTGTTAGAACTAATGGATTTAAATGGATATAATCAAATGGATAATGTTGATAATGGATATCCATGAATATATCCATTTGGATTGATGCTAAATCCATCCATAAAAATAAAAAAAAATAAAAAAATTCTTCTCAAAACAAACGTATTACTCCTTTTTAATAAAATGATTCATTCAAATGTTGCATTATCCTTTCTAACAAAAGAATTCCATCAAAACTAGTTTTCTTCATCTATGAAGGTTTATTTTTTCAATATATTCATCCATTTTACTTAGACTTCAAATAATTGCATTTAGTGTTTAACATATCTTATCATATTTCTCTTGTATTCCTTTCAATTAGACATTTCAACTATCTATCAATCATGTAATTTAACTTTGGTAACTATAATTTATGTTTGTAACCAACCAAAAAAACATGAACAATGAGATAAATAGCAAAACGAATCTATAAATTTTATGATATACGTCAAATTTTTCTAGCAACACTAACCTCGACCTCACTTGAAAGTTTTAAAAGTATAGATTTAAGTTTAACCACGTGATTTAACATTAAAAACTTAAAAGTTAATTTTAAGTTCATTACTCTTTTAAGTTTTTAGATAAAAAACTTTAAAAGTTCACCATTTTAGCACTGTTTATAAAAGCACTTTTTAAAAATGTGAAGTCACGGATTGAATATTCATCCATCCAAATCCATAAAAATGGAGTCAAGGTTTGATTGGATGAATTATAATCCATTGGACATGGATGAATTGAATAGCTTAAAATATGGTGTAAATCGATTTATATGGATTGATTGATGTATTTCTATCGATCAATTTTCATCCAAATCCAAACTCATCCATTTGCCACCCTTAGTTGTAGTCTATATATCTATAAGGAAAAAAAGTTTTGTCACATCATCACTAGACACGTGTCACACTCTTTTACTTTCTTAAACATGTTCATACATTATCATGTTCCCTCACACTCTATTAATCCTTAATTTTACTATCAAACATAGGCAAAACTACATTGAAAAAAGAAATAAAAAATAGAAGATAGAACAGAAAGATTATTTCACTCACTTAAATCGCAAAAGATATTAATGAACATAGTTGAATTTAGTACAGAGGAAAAAAAACACTTTTGTTTGTGCTAGTTTTTGTGTTTGATATAAAAGAACTCATGGTTTTTGAGTAAATTACAATACCACCAGTTGCTTCACCTTCTCAAAAGTGAGTACTACCTTAATCTTTTATATCAAACACAAACACAAATGTGAAGTCACGGATTGGATATTCATCCATCCAAATCCATAAAAATAGAGTCATGGATTGATTGAATAAATTATAATCGATATGAATGGATTGGATAACTTAAAATATGGTTTAAATGGATTGGTGGATATATTTCCATCCAAAACCATCGATTTGCCACCCTTAACTGTAGTCTATATATCTATAAGGAAAAAAGTTATATCACATCATCACTATACACATGTCACACTTTTTTTTTTTTTCCTCTGCACTAAACTCAACTATGTTCAACCTTTCTTAATTAACAAGTGATCACTATATGATTCATTAATCTCATTTGCAATTTAAGTGAGTGAAACAATGTTTCTCTTCTATCATATATTTTTTTATTTCTTTTTTCAATGTACTTTTGCCTATGTTATGCATGTGTTACATGGTTTAATGCAAGCATTAAACTAGTTTTTTTTGCATCTGTTTGTATATTTAATATATCTTCAAGGTAAACGAATATATAAAAAATTTATCATATTATATGTTCTATTAAGATATGTTATTTTTTTTATACCTAGAACAACACTTACTCCCCAAGTTACTATATTTAATATAACCAATTTGAAATTTTCTTCTTGCCTATGGAAATGGTAGGACACTCTAGAGAATTTCTATTTAAACGAATTTTGCTTTGTTTTTCCCCCTACATTTATGGTTTCTTAATAATTATATAATATCAATGTACCTTTCCATAAGTAATTTAGTTTTTCTGGTGATCATGTAGTTTTTGAATAGTCATTGCAGTTATAGGTGAAAAATGCTAGAGATGGGTGATATTTGACAGAATCTGATTTTAGGTGTATAGTAGAAGCTGTTGTGTAAATTTTAAAAAACACAGAAGAAGTGTAAAACACGCGTTCTTAAGGATTATTGACCAAGTTCATTTCAGTATTATCTCAGGAATACAGAACAACAAATAATTAACTTTTGGCAATACTGGTAAGGTTTTTGTGTGTAAGAATTAGGAGTGGTAAAATTATCCACAATCCATAATTCTTCCAAGTTAAATTCATTCAAATCAATTCGTTAGAACTAATTGATTTATATGGATATAATCCAATGGATAGTGCTGATAATGGATGAATTCAAATTCATCAATTATATTCAATGAATATACATGGATATATCCATTTGGATGAATGCTCAATCCAACCATAAAAACAAAAAACAAAATCATTTTTTTTCAAAACACACTAGCAAACTCCTTTTTAATAAAATGATCCATTCAAATGTTATTTTACCCTTTCTAACAAAAGCATTCCATCAACAAAAACTAGCTTTCTTCATATATGAAGATTTATTTTTTCAATATCTTTATTCATTTTACTTAGACTTCAAATAATTGCATTTAGTGCTTAATATTTCTTACCCTTGTATTCTTTTCAATTAGATATTTCAACTATCTATCAATCATGAACTTTTACTTTGGTAAATATAATTTATGTTTGTAACCGACCAAAAAACATGAAGAAGAAGAGAAATAGCAAAATGAATCTATAAACTTCATGATATACGTCAAATTTTTCTAACAACACTAACCTCGATCTCACATTAAGGTTTTAAGAGTATAGATTTAAGCATAAACGTGATTTACAATTAAAAACTTAAAAGATAATTTTAGAGTTTATTACTCTTTTAAGTTTTAAAAAAAAAAACAGTGTTTTAAAAAAAAAAAATTTAAGAAATGTTTTTTTAAAAGCACATTTTAAAAATGTGAAGTGGGCAAGAATGGTTTTGATATATTATTAGGACATACTACTTAAGCTTCAATAAAGCCAAACAGGCTATCTAATTCCTTACCTTCAAAATTTCTATGCCATGTGTCCAGTGAAGTTACTTCCGTTCTTGGTTCACTTTACGATGGAAAAGTCTATCTTCTTGTTATTTTAGTTCTTTCCTTCTCTGTCTTCAACGCTTTTCCTCTCATTCAAAACCAGACCCGCACTACTTTCGCGAAACTCGCCGAGATGTGCGTGCATCGATGAGATAGTAAAGAGGCACGGAGCGCCCGTGTCGGCAGAATCAGACAGAGTAGGATCTATGTTTACCAAATAGTTGGTTGAAGAATTATCGACCAACCCGGGGTCCTAACATTCTACAATAAGAGTGTCCGACGACTGCGGGAGATTTTCAAGCCACTGCCTCGAGAGCAGCCTACGAAAGAGTTCCGGCTATGCCTGGCATTTGCATTTATTCCTTTAATTTTATCCCGCTATTGGTAGGCTCAGAATTCGAAATACATCGGTTTCTTACTCGTGTAAAGGAACTCTTTCTTGGCAACTTGGACAACTTATAACAAAGTTTGTCCCGCATATCACTAGGAAGATCGGAGGCCTTTCCCTGGCCTCCCCAACACACTCTTGATACGAGAGAAACCTCCCACCAATTGGAATCGGATTCGGAAAGAGAAGAAAGAGTTCTGCTTCGGTGAATCACTTGAGCCCTGATACATTTTCGGTGCCATCATAGGAGCTAGACCAGTGAGCTATTACGCTTTCTTCAAAGGATGGCCGCTTCCAAGCCCACCTCAAGTCTGTCGGGCCCCCCTCCCATTGCTCTAGCCATAAGCTATGGCAGCTCCAGCTCGAAACCACAAGGGCCCGCCCCGCGAGGCCAGAGTGGGCTCAGCGGTCAGCCCCCCATTCGAATTACGTTACGTTGAATATACATCCATCCAAATCCATAAAAATGGAGTCATGGTTTGATTGGATGGATTATAATCCATTAGATATGGATGAGTTGGATAACTTAAAATATGTACTCATAGGATCAATTAAAATTTGAAACGATGTGGTAGGATGCAATGTTAGTTTATACTCACAATGCTCACTGAAAAATTAGTTCCGGAATGTGGCTAAATCACCAGGCAGTTTTCGGTGTCAAACTATGAGGTTGGGACAAGAACTTTAACTTTTCCTTACAAATTTGTCAACAACTCTTGCCGTAACAGTTATTTTAACAATCATGAGGCACATAATATCATTACTTTCACCATCGATGTTCATTGAGACTATACTAACAAAAGAAAAAAAATCAGAGGATAAAAGTAGTAACAGCTTTTGGCTAAAACATGAACTATGGTTTAGAAACCATGCAACTACTTGAGAATAACTCATGTTTTTGTTGTTGTTCAGATTTCTGTTTATTTTTTATTTTGTAATTATAGGCTGGACAAAATTGAGTGTTCACACTATAGTAATTTGTACAATTGACTCTTCTCAGTTATCATTTGTAGGTGGAGTAAACAAGTCAAGGCATGCAGAAATGGGTGTCAACTCACGCTCAAGCGAGAATCTTTCAGCCTTCCTCTCGCTTAAGCGAGCTAACTTTCGCTCAGGCGAGAGTCCCAGAGAAATCTTGGGCGAGACCCTCTCGTTCAAGCGAGAAACGTCCAGCAATCCCCAGACTTCCTGAATTTCACTACACTTAGGGGAAAAAATTAGGGTGTTACACTGAGGGCCTGAGGCGATTATCTTCCATCCATTTCCCTTCCACATGCCAAACTTTTGCTATCATATAAATCCCTAATAAGCTTTTCCTATATTTGTCATTATATTTTGAAGATCCAAATGATGATTCCTTCCTTCCTCTGCTTCTTAAATGATACCATTTTTTTCATAAAAAAACAAATAATAAGAATTACTAGCTAGTTGTCCTTTAATTTATTAAAAGTAAAGTGGAAGATAACAAATTTAAATAACCCAAAGATCAACCTTTGGTATGATATTTTAATCATTTGTGTCAATCAATACAAACGTATATGTCCAACCAGTTGAGACAAACTAATATTATATATGTATATATATATATAACACGAGATATGATAATATGGTAGTATAAAATAATAGTATAATTAAAAAATGAAAGCAATCAAATATTATATATATATTATAAACAACGAGATAAATAGAGATAATATGAAGTTTATAAATATAGAATTTTATTCAAATTTAATAGATAATAAGTAAATAACATTTTATTTCTGAATAAGATTATTGTCGAATATTGTAACCAATAATTAATTAAACTACCTTTGTCTTATTACAACCACCAAACTGGGGGAGGGCAAAGTAAGTGTGAATTTGGAAAAAATCGACATATAGTACCTTCGTCCATGTTGAACATACCTACATCATTACCACCCAATAGTTTTAAATAATGACACTCCAAATTGTTATCAGTGTAGTAAATATTATTTCTTTGACCATGTGGAAGAAGAGTGTGATTAGTCATCCAAATAGATGAATTAAGTCCAATGAATATTGCACCATTTTCCAACTTAAAAACTCTTGACCATTGCTTTGTATTAACATTGCTCATTCTATAGATATCAAATTTGACGGAATTGTAACAACATGGATAATGTTCTTCAACAGCATAATAGTTGAAATTCCTAGCAACCATTATTAGGCCACCTTCAGGGCACCCTATCAAATAGGCTTGATTGTAGTGAGGATTACCCTGTGTGTCAAAAAGGGGAGGCGGTGGAGCTTTCCTAATTGATGGAAGTGGTATTCCTCCTTTTTTGAGGCTAGATTCAAATAATTGGCCCTTGAAATCAATTACATAAATTTTTCCTTCATGGAATATAGCATCTTTGTAATTATATCTATATTCAATTTTCCCTAATTTTGGAATGTCAATCCACTTATTGCTATCGTGTCTACAAAAAGCCAATCTACAAAGAGTCGAAAATATAACAATGACCATAAAGTCTGGGTTGTTGTCATCCGGGGGAGAAGATAATATAACCTTTTGAACTTGAAAACTCTTTTGCATGTGAACTTTTTCCACAGGATAAATAATATCATCACCAAATTCTTGTAACAAATATTCTTTGTCTACCTCATGGGGGTGATAACTAACCACATGTGGAAGAGTAGAGAGAGGAGGAAGGAAGAAGTGTTGGTTAGGATTGAGTGGATTTATCATTCTCAATGTGTCATCCATACCTACGGTGATTAACCATCCATGAGAAGAGCCACGTATCTTGGTGCCACGCAACTGGGGAAATCTTATGTGATAGATCTTCCTATGTGCAAGATGAGTCTCAAGAGTATTGTCCTCACTGAAAGGGAGCACCAAGCATGGAACCTTGGGTAATGCCATCTTCCATTCTCTGCACACACCACGAATTCCAATATAGTCATCATAACAGTAATTAAGCTTCAAAACTATTTCATTCAATAAATCATGATCAAGCTCTGCCCATCTACCATTCTTCATTTCATCCACGCATTCACCCATGTTCTTCAAATTATGCATAATAACATGATAAGCATGGGAAATATAGAAAAGCTCAACCTATATATATATATATATATATAGGATACACGATTAAGGAAATATTGTATACTTTTTCAAAAAAGGATCATATATTTAATTTCCATCATCACACTAGATAAATATAATTCAATCTCATTTCTCATGCGTGATAATATTTTCCTAGAATAACGATGTATTCTCATAAATGTTTAGTCTATTAATCTTCTTAATATCAAATAGTATGTGGGTATTAAATAAAAAAAATTAATTCATATATTTAATTTCCTTTTCTATTTACTATTAGGATTAGAATGATTACTAAGGTGAAATATTTTCATGATTTAGAATCACTATTTTATAGAGTACTGTGATTTGTCATTCATAAACATTACTTATGCTTAAAATTATTTGAATTTATTTATAATATATGTCTACCTTGTTAATTGTTATTTGAAATAGTGTTATCTTAATGTCTCTACGGTAGGCTTGAGTTTAGTTAATCTTTAAAAAATAATAAGAAATGCAGACAAAATTAAGGGATGATTTTTACTCATTCTTATAAAAATATTTGTATATATAATCTGAATTATATCTTAACCATATCATTAAAGGATATTATAATCATGCTTTTAATGAACGTATCATAATCAATTCATAACAATAATATTTAAGAGATAGGGTCTATGTTTTATTTAATTTATTCACCGAATAAAAAATAATTATTTGGCTCCAAATAAAAATTAATTGAAATCAAATTTTTAGGTAATATATTTTAGCAATTCCAGATCATCTTAGAATAGGATATAAATAATTTTTAGAAATTATGAAAGATAAATAATACTCATTATTGTTATTTCCTTGATATGTCCTTTATGGAACATTGATGGATTATTGAATTATTTATTTATTGATTTATAAAAAAATGAAAAATAAAAATTATCATACTTTTTTTCTAAAAAAGTAACAATCAAATTTGCTTGATTGGATGAGAGTGCAACCTATATTTACTTTATAGTTAAATCTTTAAAGATTCAATTTTTAAATCAAATATATTTGGGTATCACAATAAAATTGATAGGAAATTTCTAATTTGATTTGTATATTTTTTTGAGCTTATTCCATTAATTGAATTTCCAAAAAGTCAATCTCTAAAGTTTACATTCAATTTTTATCGTAAGATAATTTGTTTAAGATGATGGATCCATTCATTTTACATTTATTTAATATTGTGAATACATAAAATTATATTTTTTAATATTATGAATACATAAAATCATATATATGAATATTTAAAATTAATTTTAATATCAATAACGTTAATAAATGAATATTTACATATGGATGTGTAATTATTAAATATGAATATTTGGTAATGTAGCTCGTCACTATTAGAACTAATAGATGATCATTTAATTGTAGTCATAGCTTTAACGAATAACTATTTTAGTAACAATTTTACAAAATGATTCAATAATCAACTTCTAATTTTAAAAATATACTATTTATGGTGCAAAGTGTGGATATTAATTTAGATACACTAATAACATCTAAAATCTTCATTTGCATGTGCTAGTAACATCCACAAACAGGTAAATTATAGCAGACAACATGATAACATCTCTTCATGATAATAACATTGATAGTGAATGAAAAAATATAAAGAATCTAACACAATAAGAAACAATGTGACATGAATTGTAAGGTCAGTGAGATATAGTAAATGCTAAAACTATTTCACCATAAATATAAACTAAATTGCTTATTTTTTTAAATGAATATAATGTGATGTATTTGTATTAGTACTACATTGAACTAAATAATAATATTCACAACAGAACATTGTTCTAGAGCATTGTCAGTGAGACATAGTGTCATGTTTCAACTGCTTTTTATTATTAATAGAGGTCATGGATAGAATGAAACTCTAAATATACCATGCAAATGCAAAATATCAAATGACTTTCTTTAGAAAATAAGTTTTTGGGTGGTAACCTATTTGGCATGTTTAATATCTTCATTTCTACAATAAAATTGCATATAATGAATAAGTAGAAGTACAAAACAAAAAATAGACAATATAACCATGACAAAATATTTCTTAACATGCTTTAGCTAGCTAACATTTTTCTCAAACAAATCTCAACCAAACGTCAATATATTTAGTAGGAAATTAGAGCAATCACATATAAAACAATCTGAATCATCAAGTTGTGGATAGCAATAACAACACCATATAGAAAACAATACTCTATTTCTTTCACCAAATCCCAAAGAAAAATACTATAATACACTTAAATAAATGATAAGATTCCTAGTGTAGAACCAATAAATTATGTACAAAAAAAATAGACATGGATGAATGTTCCTGATCCAATACATATTTTATCACCCTTACACCGTCTTAACTCTTTACCTCTTCAAAATTGATTGATATTTGAGCATATATTAGTCACTGCTTTATGACATTAAATCACTTGATATAAAATCTAAAAATATATTTTCTCCAATTAAATTTATGTAATTAGAATTCAATTGATATAATCATATATACTTTAAATATCAATAAGTTTTTCGTAAACTGAATCCATTTAGATGTGAGTGTGATCCTCAAGTGAATATAATATGAGAACAACTTCAATTTTTTATGAATGCATGTTCTTGTAAGCATAAAATTATAAATCCAAGAAAGTTTACTCTATATTAATTCGAATAATGTAAACGATAGATATGACTAAGTTGTAAATTAGTTCAAATAATTCATAAGTTGTACTAAAATTATTGGAAAATTTCTTAACTTACCCAATAAGCTTGATGAGATAATGACACACTAAACATGTATGGGAAAAATAAGTTTCATTAAGTAAAATTGCCCTAAATAAGGAATCATAGAAATTTAGTGAAAAAGTTTAATGACTTAGATGGTGAGAATGTATGCCACTAAAAATGCACAAAGTACTATTCACCGTCCATGATTGAGACTCAATATGTTTTATTCTAAGGATTTGATTTTTTTAATATTATAAATTCTTAAAATCATAAATATAATAACGTTAATAAACCAATGTTTACATATGGAGGTTTTTATTATTATTTACACTATTTTTTATAATATAAATTGTAACTTTTATGATAAACATATTTGACTTAATATTTTTGTTGTTTTAATTTAGTTTATTCATCGATATTATTGAAGTTATATTTCTATTTTTTACAATACATATTTGGTATGAGTTTACACATATTTTTTATTGGTTACTTTAGAATTAAACAACAAATGTTATAAAATTATATTTATAATGATCATTCTCTAAAATTAAGGAATGAGAAATAATTTTGATTGAAATTATATTAATTTTACTATATATCATATAAAAATACTTCTACATATTTTCCTGTAGGATGGAGATAGAAAAAGACATTATAATAAATTATTAATATTTTTATGTTATATTTCTTATTATCACTATTTTACTACTACAAAATTAACATTGTAATATTAGAATCAAATCTAAACTCTATAAAAATATATCCAAAATGAGCATTATTTAAAATTAAGGAATACATATTTATTATCAATTTACATATTTCTTATTACTTATTTTTAAATTAAACAATAAATTAATATAAATTTATATTGAGCAATTAAAATTAAGGAATCGGAAAAACATTGATTGAAATTGTATTAATATTTGAATTAACTATTTTCCTAAGGTTACTATTCTATTTTAAGTATAAAATATCAAATCATTTATAAGTTAAAAAAATGTAATTGATCACATTTTGAACTGAAAGAAAAAAATTTAAAATCACACACATATATATTAAAATTTATAAACAAACTTGGTTAAAATTTTAAGATTATAGTTTTATTTTTAAAATTCTAATGTTACAATAACTGCACTTTAATGTTATAATAAAACGTATTAATCATGAGTTAACTCATTGTACCATAAGGTAAACCAAGAAAATACTATAGCTCAAAAAATTGAATATATGAGAATGCATGAATTAAGGGATGGTTATAAAATTAAGGAATGAGAATTAAACAACAAATGGTTATAATAATGACTGCACTTTAATGTTATTGTAACGACCCGATTTTTATAACCCAAAATTTTAAAACTTTATTAAATGTAAATATTAGTTAAGTTTCTCAATTCAAAATGCGGAAATAATCAATAATACATTTTCATCAAAAACATTACATCACATCCTACTTTAATCCATAATTCATACAATTATCTTTTGTTTCAATTACAACACTGTTAAAGGTAATATGCTAATGCTTATTACATATTTTGAAAGAGATCATTTACTTCAACATATTCCTCATATTACATACATTGTACAAATACAATTTTGGAATACAAAAACAACTACTCCAGTCTATACTCCTATCAGCAAACATTCACGACGCAACAGCAACATCCTGAACTCATATATAACACATAAACAAGGAAAAGCAGAGGGAGTAAGAACAAACTACGGTGACCGTAGCGTAAAATTACATAGAGTAATATAATTAAAGTATAAAAACCAATACAATCATCTCAAATCAATCATAGTAAACATATACCATTTATATACCAGTCAATACCTTAAACCACATAATGTGCACCTATTCAATCAGTATAATCATCACATTTCTTTTAGACATTTCAACGCATCAGTACAACACTTCTACAACAATACAATACAACTACGACCACCCAATATCACAAAGGGTCAATCAAATCAACATCACAAAAGCAGGTCAAATCCATACCACGAAGGCATATCAAAATTCCATACCACGAAGGGCAGGTCAAACTCCATACCACAAAGGGCAGGTCAAACTCCATACCACGAAGGGCAGGTCAAACTCCATACCACGAAGGGCAGGTCAAACTCCATACCACGAAGGGCAGGTCAAACTCCATACCACGAAGGGCAGGTCAAACTCCATACCACGAAGGGCAGGTCAAACTCCATACCACGAAGGGCAAGTCAAACTACATAGCACGAAGGGCAGGTCAAACTCCATACCACGAAGGGCAGGTCAAACTCCATACCTGCTTAATTTAGACTATTTTCCTCAAGAAGATGTAGATAGTTACACTCAAAGTACATCTTTAACCAACAATGTGAACTTAGGATCTAATCAAGACAATGACAAATGGATGAATTAGAATGTTTACTCTCTAAATGAGATGTGTTTTAATTTATTGCTCTAATTATGTAAGACTTAAACTTTGATGCACTTTTATTTTGATTTATGTGTAAGCTTTGTGCAAAGTTATTCACTAATTTTAATTAATTATATAATAACTTTGAGAAGTATTTGCTCATTATGCTGCAATGGTTTCTCCAATGACACATCACTTAAACAACACCAAAACATGGATTGTGTTAATAGGTAAGTCCATTCAAAATTTATTTTAATTGTTCATTTTCTAACTTACAATGATTTAATATATTTTTCTTTCTTTTTCTCTCCTCATCTTCCTCCTTTAAGCCTAACAAGAAACCCCAAAAAAGGGCAAGAAACAGCACAAAAACAGTCAGCCAAGAAAGGGGTAGATGAAGAACTGAAGAAGAAATAAATTATGTTATTATTATTATTGGAACTGAAGTTATTCTGTTTTTTTTATGTTTAGTATGGATTGAAGTTTGGTTATGTTTTTATGTTTATTTAGTATTGATGATGGATGCATATTGTATTGAAGTTTGGTTGTGTGTTTTTATGTTGATTGTAAATAAGTTGTTCTGTTTTTATAATTATAACAATATTTCTATGAAGGCTCCCTTTTGTTAACAACCTAATATTTCCTTTGATGTCATCACATTAATGCTTTGAAGAGTAACTGTATGAAAAATAATTCTGCATAATGTCTTGTAATTGAATTGAGGAGTATTGTTTCATATGCATGACTTTTGATTTGCACCACTTTTGATTAGCACCTCTTAATGCTATTTCATTGATGTATCAAAGCACAACTGAAATGCTTTTGATTTTTCTACTTCTCTGGCTAATTAATTTTGTGACTCTTGAAGTAACCTTTTCGTATCCATATTGGTTTTGTTGAGGTTAACTGTCTCCACTAACCCATCTCAGTACCACTGATGTTGTCAGTCTTATCCATGGTGATGATGTTTTCCTAACGAGCTTGTCTAATGCTTTTGATGCTTTGCAGGATGAATAATTCCAAGTTGGTGGATCCAACAAGGTGGTTGTTGCGTTATCGTATTCATCATATTCAGACGAACTCATGAATACTATGGGGATTAGCTATCCCTTCTTATTTCCCTGCTTATTAGATATTGGATCTTTCCATCTTTGCATTATAAGTTTTCCTTGTCTGATTTTAATTGCAAACTTGTAGTCCTTACTTTACTTGACTATACATCGCTGTCGTGAGATCTTGACAATGAATGTTGCAACTAAGAATCTTTTGGCTGCTTTGAAAAGGGTAGAAGATGATCGTTAAGAACATCCACCTGACACAAACTCTTACAGCCTCCCCAACATACAAGTTGCTTTGACAAATAGAGAATTTGTACTCATAGGATCAATTAAAATTTGAAACGATGTGGTAGGATGCAATGTTAGTTTATACTAACAATGCTCACTGAAAAATTAGTTCTGGAATGTGGCTAAATCACCAGGCAGTTTTTGGTGTCAAACTATGAGGTTGGGACATGAACTTTAACTTTTAATATTTCTATGAAGGCTTACTTTGTATTTCAGTAACAAATGTTCTGTTTTTTAAACAGTGTAATCGATTACATGATGATAAACTAATCAGACCTGTGCATTTTACATGTTGTAATCGATTACACTATACTCGTAATCGATTACAACATATTAGTATGAATATAACAAAAGCCTATTACAAATGCCACATTAAAAACAAAAACAAAAATGAATTTATGCAGTAGATGTTTATTACCTTTTGAGACGGCTTAATCTCAAGCATTTTGAATAGTGGAAGAAGTGGATAAATGCTAGGGTTGATGTTTGTAGCATCTAGCTTCCAAGATGTATCAACACTTTGTGAGTATAGAATGGTGAGTGTAAAAACTGCAAAACAAAACAAACCCGAAACACTCCATTTATAAATTGACTCACAAATCACAGTGAACAGAAGTAAACCCAACTGAACAACAGACTGTGTTGCCAACGCCTGTTCAAGGGCTTTACTCTGCTGTAAGTTTGGATTTTCAAGAATAGCTCGTTCAACTCCACTCAATACCATATATAAACGTCCGTATAAAAATACGTAAACAGTTATCACAGTTATCTGCAGAATTCAAAAATCCAGTGTTGGTTAAACCCCATTTTACATAACAAATGCAGGGTTATATGCTTTAATAATCACTTAAGTCCCACTTATATCATATTTCGATGCTTAGTTGTATCTATGACTGTATTGTATTTTTTAAATGTCATTACTTGCTCATAAAAGCAGCCCAACTCAGCCTAAGTTGATGAAGCTTAAGGGATTTGTTTCCATGCCCAATACCACAATAAGCAATGTGATTTTGATAGATCATATGTAATTTGAATAGCACCTACTTTCTAGAAAACAATATCTTAAATGAGCCAAAATTAAACTAAATGAATCATATAATATTAATTACAAATAACTGGATTAAACTAAATGATGTGGTAGCAAGTGTCTAGATAGAGAAGCAGAAGTACTTGAATTAAGTCTTAGAAGAGTAGCCATTTCATGAAAAATTGAAGATGGATTTCATTATCTTGTTTACTTTAAACCATTTTGAGTCGTAAGCCTATCTATCTTCAACAAAAGTTATATTAAAAATAGCTTAAATCACAGTAGAATCCATTCACCTGTCATATAATAAGATAATTTCTAATATTTTTTATTTTTTTCTTCTCTATTGGCAAACAAAGTGTATGCAACAAAAGATGTTTCCTATGATAGGTGGAAGAAAACACCATATATATATATATATATATATATATATATATATATATATATATATATATATATATATATACTTCAAATTAGGCAACGTTCAAGCTGGTAATGTGTTATTAATAATTAGCCACAAACTATCAAGACAAGATCACGAAAAGGAGATTTGATTAATTATCGTTCTACTGAAATAGAAACCAATTGTGTTGAAGTAGAATGACAACATTCTGAAGAAGTCAAATCGTCGCCCAAGTCGATAAACATCACGGCTAATTGTTTGTTCTCCATTTCCATTGCTACCTCAGCCTAAAAGAGTGATATCTTATTCATGCCCACATCATGCTCCTTACCAACTTGTATGTACTCATGATGTGTGATAAATCCTAGACGTAAAGTCGAATTGAATTATTGTATCAATAGCCCGCAACAATGACACGAGATAATCTTTACTGGCTGATTCACGACCAGGTCGCTCTCTTTAAGACGTTTCGTGGCTGAGTCACAACCAGGTCGCTCTCTTTAAGACGTTTCGTGGCTGAGTCACAACCAGGTCGCTCTCGGATACACCCAAAAATATGGCTACCAGTACCAATTCCGAAATACCGACAATATTGGAATCCTGTTCCAACTCTAGTGCCACGGAAAGAAAGGGAGAGAAAGATGTCGGAAATGCGTCGGCAGAAAATATGGAGGGAGAAAGAAAAGAGTAAATTCGTACTTGCTCTTGGTGCAAAAAATAATGAAGGAGGATGCATCTATTTATAGAATGAGATTTTATCACTACTCTTGCATCCTCCAATGTGGGACTTGTGAGATTTTTTCAAAATCTTTCAATGTGGAACTTGTGAGATTTTTACAAAAACTTCCAATGTGACTTATGAGTTTTTCAATTTCACATCCTAAGGTCCACACTAATGGCCTCAAACTAAACAAGTTCCAACAAATCCTGTAGAGAGTAAGCACAATTAGTAAAAAAAATCCACCCATTAGATGCTCATTTTCCTACTCAACCTTGAAGTACCTGCAAATATATCCACGCTTAAGTTTATAACTTTTGATGCTTTGCTAATGCCACCTCCTGTTATGTGGAAGATTCTGTCAAATATATCAGGATGACCATAGCGAAATCCAACCCTGCACATTTAGGTATGTAGATTAATTAAGCTGAAAAGTCACAACATTTACTTAAAAAGGAATAAGAGAAGATGGAACTTTGAAGATTCCCACAAAAAAATATTTTCTTGTTTTTCCAACTAAATTACCAATTATGTATTTTTACATTATTTTTCATACAGAATGTGACTCAATGTATAACTCAATAAGAAAATATGCTTATTCGTCTCTAAAGAGACCACCGAATACAGCATCTAAGGTGCATCGGAAAAACCTCTGGCCACCATCAACGCGTTTGAACTTTCCTCGCTCTCCTTGGTACAGATCGGCCCTCAATGTAAAGAGAATAAGAGACCACTGTTGTTTCACCCCGCTTTTGGGCACCTCTGCCATTTATTTGCCTTGCCATAGCATCTCAATTCAGGTGTTGTTCACACTGCCTCTATTCTCCGTCTTTACATGGCTTTTCAACTCCCTTTGGTTGTGTTTTGCTGCATTTGGCACTCAAATGTAGTATGGTCATCTTACCTTAACAGGTTTGAGTTTCTTCAGTGTGTTTGGTCTATTTCTTAGCAGTCGGTGGTGGTTATCTATGATTTATCATTGTTTGGCTGCAGTTTGGCCCTACTCTAGTGTCTGCTTATTCTCCGATGTTTGTCATGCCATTTTTCTCTATGAAATGAATCATACCAATGCTTGCCTTCCCACCGAAGATCTTTTCGGCAGTAATTTCTTTCCAACAGATGAATCATACCGGTGGTGACCTCCCTGGCCGTCGACAATCACACCAATGGCAACTAATATTTGAAGTTCATTCAAGTCAAGCTTAAAG